ATATTGCATATATATATGCAGTTAATCAATACAGTGGATGTGAATAAACAAAATCATTATTATGGGTACTTATCTGCATAAAAATAGTAATTAATAATTTGACAATTTGCATATTAGAAAAGTTTTAGTTTCATTAAAAACATGTGTAGGTACATGTATTAGCTTATTGACCCCAGCCACAGACTCTACAATTAATATTGTGGGGTTTATGCGCTGGCCAAGGTTGATTTGTAGACCAAAAAAGAGCATTTTCTTTAAATCATTAAAACATTACTGAAGAATGACGGATTTGTCAATACAATCGTTGTACTTGTTTTGTGCATATCTGTCCTTTATGATATTCTTGAGATGACCTCATTTACACTGTTATGCAATGTACTGCTGTATGAGAAATAGCTTTTCACTGGCCAAGCCCTTATATTTAAGCAATTAACCATTGATGACATGGTATATCAGATGCATAACAGGAGTGTTAGTGAGATTGTATGTGAAGTGATTCAGCATTCTGTGCATAATTGAGTGATATACCTGGCTGTGTGATGGTGCTTCACAACATGAAATGAAATTGCATATTTTTTTTTTGATGTGACTTGTACATGTACTACTTTTTAGTTTTCTTTACCCATATATTTATTGCAAACAACTGATAGAAATGTTCTTTTTCTAAAGATGAATGAAATATTACTTTTACCAATATAATTTTAGTATATTTATTCGAGATAAAACACCCCTATAAAATTAGAGAAACAGAAAGCAAACTACAATGAAGCATAGTGAAATCAGAATGGGCCCTGTAACCAGCATGACTCCATTTTAGATAAACTGAATACCAGTAATAGTGAAAAGTTAAACCTCATATACCTATTCATGATTTACATGTATGTGTATTATTTTCTACATATCAACAGATTTGACACAGTCATAATAATAATAACCTATTTTCTGAAAAACAAAACATTTCTTGGACAAATACTATGCACCTCACTACTTTGCACAGACACTGCAAACTTGCTGACATTGCAGCACTTGATCAAGCTATCAAACATTTAATTACCTGCGTTGTTCTGAAATCTGACTTTCCTTTTTTACCTAGTAATATCTAGATATTATAATATTAACACTTTGACGTCATAGGTATAGTTAGCAACAGTCGCGAAGGATCTTTTGGCCATTCACAATGTTGAAACATTTGGAAATTACCTATATATTATTATACAGTATACGCATGTCACTTACTTTTGAACTTCCTACTTATAACTGAAATACAACATTTTTTGTCATTTTGGGGTATTATACTTAAAATAAAGAATAAAAATACATAAATATATATCGTGACTCACAATTAAACATAAATTTCTATTTACAGTATGATGATGCCTTTGCTGCCAACAGATTACAGAACTGGACAGTACCCCACCAATATAAAGAGGTAAAGACTCACTTGCTCACATTGTATTTGCATAAATGCAGACACAAACTTTACCAAGTGCACTACATGTGTACTTGTATGAAGACAACAGGGTATTGTATACCACTATAAAGTTCAAGACCTGCTTGTGTGTTTAGACATCTGATTCTGCATGCAAATACTGATGTGCCTGCCTCCATTCTCTGTTTACACATAAACCATTCTGCGTTCTAATTAGCTAAAAATAAAGCCAAGTAATTTTCAACAAAAAACTTTGTGCTGTTTCTCACCTTTGTTTCAGGAAAGTTAAACACTAGCATTTTCGCCACAGCATTAACCGCATAGACACAAAATGTCTATAAAAAGGGATTGAATACAGACATTGTTTTGTACACCCAGCTAATTGTCTGACAATCCAGCTGTGTCACAAGCAGTGTTGCCTCTATATCTTATAACAATCTACTGGCTTCCTGAAAGCAACGTTGTTTGCAACATAGCTGTAGTTTCAGCCAATCAGTTGACAATATTGCTTGCTACTTGTAGGTGTGCAAAACATACTCGCGGCCACAGTAGTGGCAACTACTACCGTTAAAATTTGTATTAGTAGCCCCATCCTCTAAAAGAGGTCGCACCCATTATTTGCGAACAATTGAGAAGCAATCACCTTATCTTTTGTAGATGCTTCAATAGAAGCTGCATCCCTTTTGTCAGAATATACTACAATGTATTTTAATAAAAGTCGTGGCTTTTATTACCGATTTTGCAGTATTTGTCTTTTTATTGTAAGAAAAAATATTTCTGCACACTTCCCATGACTTTTTTTTTTATTGAAATTACTGATTTTTTGTGTGTGACTCTATTCCAGAGACCATCCAGTTTAGAAGGATACACACAAATTATTGCAAATGACAGAGGACATCTATTATCAGGAGTTCCCAGATCTCAGTCTTCTCCATGGGGTAACTTTGTAGGCACATGGGACATGCCAAGAAAAATACCCGGTAATGTTACATCCTACATGGCACGCTCTGATAAAGCCATAGATGGAATTGAAACAACAAAAGAAGATTTTGATCGTAAGATGTATGAAGCAGTTAATACTCCACCAAAATGTGCAGACAAGGTACGTAACATTAAATGAATTATTCAATTTATCTCAAATTACATTTTTTTTTAATCTGATAAAACAACAAGCAGCCTGTCGGCTGAGATAGCTCCGCTGTTAGCAATGCACATGGCAATTAAAGAACAGAAGATATCATTAGAAAATGAACAAATCTGAGAGAGGTCCACATGTAGTACCTATATGTATAATATATCAAAGCAATTGGACTTGCGGTTTTCAACAAGAAGTCGAAAATATCACTTTTTACCAAAAATTACAAAAATATTCATCAAAATTAGAGAATTAAAGATATCATCATGAAATGAACAAATCTGAGAGAGGTCCACATGTAGTACCTATATATGTAATATCAAAGCAATTGGACTTGCGGTTTTCAACAAGAAGTCGAAAATATCACTTTTTACCAAAAATTACAAAAATATTCACCAAAATTAGAGAATTAAAGATATCATTACAAAATGAACAAATCTGAGAGAGGTCCACATGTAGTACCTATATATGTAATATCAAAGCAA